TATCTGTGTAATGTAATGAATCCTAGAAAGCTAGAAAAAGCACTTTAAAAAACTAGACATGAATCTATAAAATCGTGTATCCTTTAATTCTTAATATCTTTTTTCAAAAAATCAATATTTTTAAATAATTCATTTTCTTTTGAGAAAATTCAAACAGTGATATATACAATAAAAAAACAATTATAAAAATAATCAATACCGGGTGCTCGCGCAAACGTATAGCGTCTTTCGCCGTCAATTTCGTGAATTCAAATGCGCGAGTGCGACAAGTGTCTGCGATGCTTGTTCGGGACAACGACGTGGAATTGATCGTGCGTAAAACAATGTTGCAGTGAGATTTCACTTTAGCTTAAAGTGAACTTAGATCACTGCAGTTAACAGTGACTTTATAAGTAAAGTGAAATTTTCACTGCTGGTAAAGTGAAAGTATCACTGCTAGTAAAGTGACTTTTTCGCTCTAAGAATGTTACTGTTCACTGTTAATATAGTGAATTATTTTTTACGGTGTTAAAAGATTTTCACTGCAATGAAAGTGATTTTTCACTGCTTCTACATTTAATTAATTACTTTTCTTGCAGTCCATCGCGCCATTGCGCAAATAATATATAATATATAGACATATTTGAAAAGAATTATTTTTTGTTGCAGTAATAAAGCGAACACGTTAATTATATATATATAATTCACATATATATATATATATATATTACAAACTAATAATCGCTTATTGTAACACAATTTGAAATATACAGATGAATTGTATGCGTACCGAATGTAAGAAAGCAAAAGCCGTGCAATAACGCCTATTTGTCTCCGTATATCGGAGAGTAATAAAAATATAACGAATAGATTATTTTACTTATTTTGTAATACATGTGTTAATATTTCGATAGTTAGACGGTTGACGTGCGTCCTTAGTGATTGTTTTGATGGGGAGCGGCGGGCGAGCAACGCGGCACGACGCGTTACGTTTATGCGAAGTTACCGCGCAGTCATTCTCTTACTGAGACTCGTACAGGTAGGTACCTGTGCCGCGTGCCGCTCTCTTTCAAGTTTCTTTTGGAAATGCATTTGCGACATTTGCGACAAATAATACGAAACGTCGTACTTTAGATAAATTTCAAACACTTACTTAAAATATTAAATAAGAAATAAATCAGAAAAAATATTTTAAAATAATATAAATACTAAATAACTTTATTTTTTTTATTAAAATGCATACTTTAAATAAAATTGTTTTAAATACAAATAACTGGTACGACTTAATTAAAAAATACATATAAAATAAGTTCCGAAAATTTATTTAAAATAATAAATTTTATATAACTATTCTATCCTTTTTATTAAAAATATATATTTTAAATAAATTTATTTCTTTAATCTGACCGAACCTTGTATATTGTTAATTTGACTTTACATTACGTGAAACAAGTAAAATCCAATTAGTATTTCGTCGCGGAATTAATGAAATAATTTCTTATATCGATTTTCTCGGAACTCAGCAGTTTAGTTTTAGCGCGAGTCGTTTAATGTGATATCATAATTACATCATAGTATAATGGAGAGCATATTTGACATTTATTTTCTAATTTTAAATATTTTATATCAACTAATGTGCTAAACGTAAAAAGCAAAACGTAACAAGTGGTTTTTTTTTATAAAATTGTTCACATAAAGTGTTTTTGACATTCCAACATTATATCTCAATTTTTATTACTCTCTTTGATTTACAATTAAGTAAAGATTAATAATAAATTATGTTTTCTTTAAATAAAGATAAAAATGTAAATATTTTTTATAATCATATAACAATTTTGACTAAATAGAATAATGTGTATAAATAGCATTTATATACATTTAGATATATATATAATTTAAATGTAATTTATCTATTACTTTTTTCAGAATAAGACCAGAATAAGAGCCTGAAAGGCAGAATTAAACGGTTCAAAAGTATCAAAAAGCCACAATACGTTAACTTTTGTTAAAAGTTATTACAAACTAATAATCGTTTATTGTAACACAATTTGAAAATCTATGATATAGATAAGTTGTGTGCATAACGAATCCAAGAAATACAGCAAAAACCGTGCAATAAAGTCTATTAATTGGAGAATAATAAAATATAATAAAATATAATGTAACGAATGGATTATATTTTGTAATATGCATTAATATTTCGACGATTAGATGCTCGGCGCGTAACCTTGCTTTGGCGCGTCATGTTTACGCAGTAAACGCGCAGTCATTCCATTAGTGAGGCTCGTACAGGCAAATAACTGTGTCGCGTGCCGATCTTCTTTACATATTCCTTTTTGAAACGTTATCGCGAAGAATGCTAAATATAACATGTACATTGTACCTTATGAATACTCACAGTATACGATTACTAATTTGCACGATTAATTATTAATAAAAAGATTAAAAGATGACAATCATATATTAGATGTTAAACTTAATTCCTGCCGTTTTTCGTCTCCAAAATTGATTTGTTTCGAAGGGAAATATCTTAATCAAAGTATTATTAATAAAGTATTATTAATTAGTAATAAAATAGAAAATGGAGGAAATTACTTTGATTAAGGTATTCATTCATCTTCCCTTCGAAACAAATCAATTTTGGAGACGAAAAACGGCAGGAATTAAGTTTAACATCTAGTACTACGGAACAGATGTTTCGTACGGTTCACTCACTTGGAATCAAAACGTAATGGAAAATAGAATTTATTATTATTTCGCGATAATTACGGACAACAATTATTTCTGTTTAAAATATATTATTTTTCTTTCGCTTGAATAGTAACTTTTAATTATACTTTGAACGGTATCACACGAGTCATAAAAAAAAGCAACATTAATAAATACTCTCATACAAATAACGCAATTTATGCGACTTCTACTTTCACAATTAATATAGTTTGTGTAATTATTAATTTAATTAATCTATTGTTTTCATGCATCTCTTTTGTGATATAATAAAAAATTGAGTGTAAGTTTAAAACTATTTATCGATAATAAAAGAAATATTTCTTTTTTTTTTTATTAATCTCTAACTCATTCCATTAACTCTAATCATACCTTGCAAACATCGTAATAAGAGATTCAGCCCTTTTATCTGTTCTGAATTTATTTCGCGATGACGAATTTATGTGCTTGATATTCATTTCTAAAACCGATAATTGCATAGTAATATAAATAGCTGTATATTATATTTTTTAGATGATATTTTTTCTCACCTTGACGTGGTGAAAGAGCTTTTTAATTCCAAATAAAATATTATGACTTGAGGTCGATTAGATATATATGTATATACATATAATGGAAACAATGTAATAATGCACTTATGTCAAATTTATTTGAAAAGCTGTGAAGGAAGGGGTAAAGAAAAAAATTGATTAAAATAATAAAAACAACCTTTTATTATCCAATATTTTATCCATTTGTTTATATAAATAAACAGATCGGTAAGAATATCTTGTTTGCAGCTTATAAATAAATTCTTATTTGCATAAAACCTCTTATCACAATTTATCTAATTTTCTTTTCTTGTTCAATAAAACAATACTCTGAAAATATTTAAAAGCTCAGTCTGTCTTCGTAATTAGTTATCATTACTATTTCTGTACAAAGTATAATTTTTATGATATAGCGTCTTTTTGAAATATCCTTTTAAATTAATAATCATAAATCTTTTGACACTGCCAATTACATAAATTTAAATAAATCGTTTTAAAAAAACAATTTAACAAAATAAAAAATTATATAAAAGCTGCAGCAATAAGTCAAGTAACTTTTTGTCAACTTAAATATAAGTAAAATGTGTGTATGAGTTTCCATAGTTGTTCCATAGTTGCATAAATAATATATTTAAAGTGATAAGATATAATTCGTAAACAATTTAAATATATATAGTAAGTAGTTAACTGCATGCCACTTGACAACGAAGTTATATTTTTAGTATATATGCATTTCAGTACATAGTTAACTACGTTAGTAAATACATTCTAATATTTTGCGAATAATACATACTTATCGCTTTATAATTAAAATTTTGTACGCGCTAATATCCATTTTACTTTAATAATTAATTTGATTTAATATATTCTTTTTAATCAGTATATGAGTTAATCGTTTTAGCTTCATTTTAAGTCATTTTCAGTGAACAAATCAGTATAATCATAAACGTTATTTCTCTCAAGCTGATTGGAAAATAATGAATGCATTGCTCATACTAGTTGCAAAGTCAAACGTCTTAAATCCAAAAGGAGTCAAGAATTACAGTAAAAGTAACCATGGATAATCATTTTGATGAAAATAATAAATGGAAATAATTATATATAATAATAGAAAAACTTAGACCATTATAGACATAATGAAAAATTTTAACGATCGTCATAAAATGAAAAATAACCAACGTGAAGTTGAATGTACAACAACCCACAATGTTCCGAAACGTTTGGCTCATAGACTAACTAAGAAGAATATATTAAATAATTAATTTGCGTTCCAATTATCGTGCGTGATTCTAATTTGCTCGACACGTCTCCTTTATTTTTTAATTTTGAAAGTCCTTTATGTATAACATTATTTTAATTTATTTTTGGAGCTATAAATCTATTTCTTTTTCAGCTTCTTTAAACTTTTATTACAATTTCTCCGATTATCAGAATTTGTTACGAAATAAAGAAATCAGAATAAAGCTATGAAACGTCAAAGAAATTAAATTAATTATAAGGTTTTATTGTCGAATTTAAGCGATTTAAACTCCTCGAACATTTTGGACTTTTTCTTGAGCTCGGCATGTTTGACGCTTTTAAAGGCGGTTGCCCGATCTAGACACGCGTTCATCACCTTATTTATGATAGAGTTGACACCAGGTATATTTATCATGTAAGATAATATAAATTTCTGCAGCATATAACATATTTTCTCCAATAGATTGAAGGACCCGTACAGGCGAGGCATATTGAGTTCAAATATGTCACAGAGATAAAGTATTTGCACTTTGTAGTTGCATGGAAAATCCGTATAACTTATGCCTTTAAAAACACACATGGTCATGTGCTCCCACTCTGGTGTCACCTCGCGGAAATTCGGTTTTATCCAGTGCTCAATAAAATCTTTACTTCGTTGGCGTATTTCCTGTAAATTACCGCGACAGAAGTTATACTGATCTTCTATGCCCAGCAGGTACCCCAAACCGCGCCAGAGGTGGCAAAAAGCTTCCAGATCTTCGTCGCTAGCATATATTCCAAACCGCTCCGGATAAACCACTACCAAACCCACGCAACTAAACAGCGTGCCCGTCATGTCGCCTTGGTTCAGACTTGTCGTTCTTGTCATGGTATAAGGACAAGTTTGACTCTTCGCCATCGGGCACGTGTCTGCGAAGTCTTCCGTGACTTTTCCCAAGATAGGACACCATACATTTTGAATCGTACTGTCTCGATCAATCTCCTCGAAGCTTTTCTTGCACAATTTCGATCTCATGGCGCTGTGTAATCTTCGCACTCTCTGGATATCGCGATAGGCTGGCGTACCTTGGCACCAAGGATCACTCGTGTACCAGTTTCTGAAGGTCTTGATCGACCTGAGGTATCGCAGAAAGGCTGTGTACGGAGTGTTTGACTCTTGACTGAGGATCAGCGGTTTCAGTGCGTCAAAGTAACTAAATATCTGGATTAAACCCATAATTTGACTCATAAGAATCACGCTGAAATAACGTTGGGCAAAGCGCTGTCCGCGATAAAATTTATCCATTATTAACCAATCCGGTTTCATATTTCCTCTTCGTTCATTGCAATCTCCATTTTCGAAGATTGCCGGCAATATGTTCCTCAAAGATTCGGGTATGTTTGGGAAATATTTGCTGGTATTGCTTATTAAGTGATCGTACTGCTGTTTAATTGTCCACCGATCGAAGTATTCTGGTAACATGCTGTTGTCGAATTCTTGTCTACATTTTGTCACGAATGTTTTGCGCTCATTGATGAGATTGTCCAATAAATTATTCCATTCATCAGAATTGTCGAAAGAAGAATCAACGTCGCTCGAGAATCTGCTATCTTTATCTTCCCTGATTTTTATTTTGAGCATGGCGTCATTTATCGCATGCTCATCATTATCATTCCATAAATTCTCTTCAATGAATAAATCGGCTTCTCTGCTTGTGATTTTCATTGCAGATGGTTGTAATTTATGTGATTTTATTTGAATAAGTAATCGTGTCTCTCTCTTAAAAGTTCGTTAAAAATTTGAAGATCCTAATCCGGATGTTTAACATTGAATCTATAAAAAAATTTTTTTAATTATAAAATATAATAAAACAACTTTATGTAACTTTCAAGAATTATAAAAATTACGCATTTAAAAAAAAAAAATTGTATCGTTAAAACATGAATAATAGTAATAATGTAGTAATTTAATGTAAATATATATATGTAGGTATGCATATCCATGACACACAATATTTTGAATTATGAAAGAAATCGACATAAAGTTTTTGTTATCCTTAAAAACTTTTTTCTTTTTTGCTATTTATCATACTTTGATTTACTGATTACATTTTATAATAAAAGAAATAAATTTATAAAAGTAAAATCAGGAATTTAAAATTGAGCTATTAAAAAAATATAATGTAATTTTATTAACAGAATCAATTTTTTAAGCAAGTGGTCGATAATAATATAATACGTTGCATCAGAATTTCGATTGTGTTCCAAACTTTACTGCCAGTTGAAAATCAATAATGTCCGTGACTGTTAGAATTTTAACGCCGAATTTTGGAGGAGTGGGAACATAGCTTTCATTATCAATCTACTTATATCTGAATACTACTTTTATTCTCTTTATTATTCCTTTTTCTCTCATTATCTTATTACGTCGCAGTTTTTACTGACAATTAAAAATGGGAAAAATAACATAAATGTTTAAAGAAATTTTGAATGTAAAAATGTTCGATCTTTGACTTGAAATAATTACTTTGACATAGAACAATAATATTTTCAAGAATATTTATTACAAATACTTTATTGTAATAATTGAAAATATTACGTAATCAATACCGATATTTTAACGAAGATATCAAAAATATCTAATAAGGCTTTAACTTACTTTGATTAATTTTTATATTCTATTTTAAGTAATATATATATATAATATTTCAATTTGTATATATTTAGATGCATTATTTAAAAAAAAAAAGGAAATTGTAGAAAGAAATTGTACGAAATCTATATAGAAACTTACGAAATAAACAAGGGAACCCTATATATTATCATCCGAGTGACTTTTACTTCGCAACAATGTGAAATTATGTGCAATATTTTATATCTACGCGACGTAGTACAGCAGTGCCTGCAAAGCGCTTTAGAAAACACCATGTCACTTGCATAAGCGCTTTTTGAGAGCTTTGCAGACGCTGCTGTGCTATGTGGTATATACAAAACAAACCTTACGCGATTTGTTCTCAAAATGAGTGTATAATTGCTACATTCTTTATAAACAAAACTAAAATACAAAATTAGAAACCGGTATCAATCTTAATCCTAGTATGGTTTTGTTATTTTTGGTTACCTTCCCGCTAACACTGGGGTGAGACACTGCAACTTTGTCACGCTATATCTGTGGACTAAATATGTATTTTTTAGTTCAAAACGTGTAAAATTTGTACCTCGAAGTTAGACAAAGACAGATAAATATGAATCAAATAAATAATATTTTATTTTCAATTAATTACAATAATGTTTTAAAGAAATGTTATTGGAAAAATTTGCAAAAAATGACCACTTTGGAAAAGAATTCTATAATATTTTTTAATCCGAGTTTTCAAATTATATTATAAAAAAGTTAAAGCAATGCAATAAATTGAATAGAATACATTGAACCTATGAATACCATATTAGGGTTAATGGCCGATCTTTTAATGTAAAAACCACAGTGTGTACGATATATTGGGTATACAACGAAAATGAACTTTTTTAGTTTTTTAGAATGCAATAATTTCATGTATTAAGTGAAAATATTATTAAATCTGTCATATAATAATAGACGAGATGCGCTTAACTTTAATTTTACCGTTTCTTTTATTGTGTTTAAAACATTTGCCCAGCTAACACAAAGTTACAAGTAATGTACTGGTTAGTTGTAATTTCCCACTCAACAATATAACTGTAATATAGCACGTGTGTTATATTAGTTATATTGTTGAGTGGGAAATTACAATTAACGGGTACGACGTTACATGTAACTCTGTGTTAGCTGGGTATTGTATAGTAAATATTCCACTTTTTTTCTCTCTAAATCTGAATCAGTGAATAATCACTGATATCAGTGCCAAGTATGCCACTGGTAATCAGTGAATGAAATGTGAGATTCCTAACCTAGCTAATCTTTATTATGTAATCGAACTAACCTTGTTTTAGTGCTTAAATTCAATGAATATAGTATTGGAAGATTGAAATTAACATGCAGATATCAGTATTTTAGTTATATAATGCTCAAACATTTTTCCTTTTTTAGTTAAACTTCATTGATTATCAGTGCCAAGTATACCACTGGGTAATTAGTGACTATTCACTGATTCAGATTTAGAGAGTAGTCATATTTTACAACTAATAGTGTTATTATGTACTCTTAAGTATCAACTTCTTACATTTGGCTAAATTGTAATAGACACAAAAATTACTACTAAAGCAGCTGACACCGACAAGTAGTTTCTTAAATGATCCTTACAATTTTTCAAATTAAATTAAAAATGTGTACACACACACACAAAATAAAAAATATTTTACTTACATTCAGAACTTCTCTCTCTGTGAATTGTAAAATTGTTCTACGTTCTCCATGAATTGTGAAGCACGTTTTCAATGGTATATTTATAAGTCTATCCCTACTTGAGGATATCCCCTCCTTTTGAGGAAACCGAAACATTGTGTAAAATCAATTAAGATAAAGTTTGACCAGTAGCAGTGCTATCATTTATGCGTCATTGTTATTACTCAGATACAAAATTATCACGAACTACAAAATTATACACATTTTTCACAAATTTATGTTTTAATGGATTAAAGTACACTAAGAGGATCTATTCTAAATTTTAAAATGTAAGAAAATAAAGCAGATAATTAGCATGATGAATAGTCTTCGATTTATCTTACATCTATTAGTGAAAATTTTCGATTTGTCTTTCTCCGTATTTTCTCATTTTTAACGTGTAAATTTTTTAATTTTTATATTTTTTATATTTTGCAAAAGATAACGTGAGTTTAGCGTTCACCGTATTTGAATCCACGTTATTGCAAAAACTCCCTAATAGAGAGCCATAGGCTTTTTAAATGCATTAATTTCTTTTGTACACTTCTCAAGCATCATTGCTTTATATTTTATATTTTCATAATTCTACTCATGTTTCTTGATCGCTGGATTATTAATTGTTTATATCATATAATATTATGATAATATCAAAAATTCTTATCATTTATTAATGTGACACTTATATTGTCACGATTCCATAGCCCGAACGTATGATTTCAGGGAAATATACACAAGACGGTCAACATAATATACACATACATATGCGTGCTTCACACGGACATTGCTTGTATATACACGGCTTATCGGTTGTAAAACGAAGACAATAGGGGATTTTTGCAATATCGTTTATCCAGATACGGTAAACGCTAAAGTCACGTTATCTTCTTTCTAACAATTAATTAAGAAAAAGATAACGTGACTTTAGCGTTCACCGTATTTGAATCCACGTTATTGCAAAAACTGCCTAATAGAGAGAGAGCCATAGGCTTTTTAAATGCATTAATTTTTTTTGTACACTTCTCAAGTATCATTGCTTTATATTGTTCTCCATTTAAAGCGAAATAAAAATAAGTTTGTAACTCATCTGCAGTTATATTGTACATTCCAACTTGTTATTTAAACAATTGTTTTCTGCAAATTTAAATATTATTTACAATTGTACTCTCTAAATCTGAATCAGTGATATAGTCACTAATTACCCAGTGGCATACTTGGCACTGGATAATCAGTTCAACTAAAGAGGAAGTTCAACTAAAAGAGAAAGAACGTTTGAGTATTATATGTATAACTAAAATACTGATATATATGCTCGTTAATTTCAATCTTCTAATACCATATTCATTGAATTTATGCATTAAAACAAAGTTAGTTAGATTACATAATAAAGATTAGGTAGATTAGGGATCTCACATTTTATTCACTGATTACCAGTGGCATACTCGGCACTGATATCAGTGATTATTCACTGATTCAGATTTATAGAATAAAGCGATAAACATGATGAATAACAAGAATCCGTAGAAATAATCGGGGAGTACCAAGGAACTCTTGCATAATGCATAATGCATAAAAAAACGAATCAATCAAATCTTTTATTTTCATGAAATAGAGAACTCTGATTGGTCGATTTTCTTATGTCTTATGCTTTATGTGTTATGCAAAAGTCTATGCTTGCCACTGTTTTATGTACGATGAAATTTTGAGAAGAGTACGAGCGATTGAAAGCAAAATCGAGGATTCGATCAGCAGACTTTACCGCGTTCAGAAATTAGATGTAATTTCTTAGTATCAAATAAACATTTTTAAAAACGTTCGGAAATTACATTATTAATTACATCAACTACAAAAATAGTTGCAGTATGCAAAAAATGTTTATTGTAATCAAAGGATTCAAAAATTGCAATGTACGTCGAATTTTACTATCCATTTAAAAATAAACATAGTAGTGATATGTTTGAAAAATGCTGTACTCGTTTGAAATGTAAAAAAACGATGTTATCCTCGATGCTAATATGGACATCCGAACAATCATCACGTAAACCGTATACTAAAAATGATTCTGATCATCCAGGTAAAAAATTCCTGGTTTATTAATGTTTACACATTAATGCGTATAAATATTATATGTATAAACACGCATAAATATTTATTATCATATATAATTATACATGAAATATCTCGAAAATCGACCAATTAGAGTCCTCTATTTCATGGAAATAAAAGATTTGATTGATTCGTTTTTTCTACGGATTCTTGTTATTCATCATTATGTTTATCGCTTTACACTATAAATCTTAATCAGTGAATAATCACTGATGTCAGTGCCGAGTATGCCACTGGTAATCAGTGAATGAAATGTGAGATCC